ACTCTTTCTCTTCTCCCCGTTGCTCTGCTTTCCAACCGCTACATCTTCCCCCTTTTTATGGTTGCTCGTCTCGAGCAGCTCCATGATAAGGCGCAAGCCGGTCGAGGTGTACAACCAACATCCTCGACCTAGGGGTCTTCTGGCGGCCAGACAGAAAGCCGATATGGAGGAATGTAGGAGGAAAGAGAAGGAAGAGAGAAGGAAAGAAAAGGAAGAAATGGAGGCCAATAGGAGGAAAGACAGAGATTTCCTGGCCAAATTAGACGCCAATATGAAACCCCATCAAGAAGAGATGAGGGCAAACCAAGTAAAAGCAGATGCCGACCGAGAGCGAATGGAGGCAAACAGGAAGAAAGACAAAGAAGATTTCCTGGCCAAATTAGACGCCGATAGAAAAACTGACAAGGAAGAAATGAAGGCCGATAGAAGGAAAGAAGAGAGAAGATTTCCTGGCAAAATTAGACATCAACCAGAAGACCCCTAGGTCGAGGATGTTGGTTGTACACCTCGACCAGCTTGCGCCTTATCATGGAGCTGCTCNACAGCCGCGTGTGCGATAACCAGTGATAACCAGTCATATCTGGAGTGTGTAATTCAGGGAGACTTGTATAGCTCCCGCATTATTAGTACATGAAGACTCTCGAAGAGTGTGTTAAGAGATTTTGTTCTAGGGTTTGTAAAGTGTGGAAACCCGTAATATTGAGATAAGTAATTGTAGCCGTTACTTGTAGATTGTTAAATAAACCAATTAACCATCTCTACGGCGTCTTCAGTAACGCAAACACGTTACAATATTTTGTTCAGACTGTACACGAGTTTGAACTGCATCACTTCACAGTTAACGATACACTCTGACCCGCAGTCCACCTCACACAAAGCGACATTGCACTTTTTACAATAGAAGAGTGTGCTCCTGCTTTTCTTATTTAGCGAACACACATGTCTCTGCTTCCCTCTGGTTGGCCAGTGGTGAATGTTTCACCTCCAGTCGACTCAGTTGGGCCCCAGATAACCTTGGCCTCCCCTGAGAAATGTCACTGACCATGATATTTGCCTTGTGCGATTGAAGAATCGTCTTGGGGGAGGGTGGTTTATGCAAAATCGAATAAATTATGTTGACTGACAAAGCGACACTCTCACCTATTAGTAATACTCGCAAAATAGTGATGCAAAGTAATTATAATACTAGTCGAAAAGAGTGCCAGTCCAACATTGATACCAAGTCACAGTGGCGAAGATCCCTTTTACTCACAAAGTAATACTGGCTCAGTAGTTTTATACCTCTTCCAAGACACAAAATAAAAATGATATATAAAGAAATATATGAGTCTGACACTGACTTTTAACTGATAAAGAAAAATATGACAATCTGACACTGAATTCCTAACTAATAATTCGCTACTAGAAACCAATCCTTGAATATGTCACACTTCCTTGAAAGCTCTGGGAGCACTGACCTGGGAGCACAGATGAATATTTACTCCTCAGTTCTCAAAACAAAGCTGGGCTCTATTTGGCCGACCAGGTCATAAACAGTCATATCTACACGTAAATAGTATTGAAACCAGTACTGTTCATTCCTAACGAATAAACCACTGACATAACCTTGCGTGGGCTTGTTTCAGTTTCAAACCCAAGATCAAACTGTCAGCACTCCCAAAGGGAGCAGTGTCCTGCCTCATATAAATATAACATTCTGCCATACCAGGGTGCTGCTTGCTGTAGATATATATAACATTCGTCCATTAAAGGTTAACATTTCACCTCCAAATTCAGGGGCAAAGAATAAGCCAAGCAAGAAACCAAGGTCCTGAAGATGGTGGCGATATGTTCCTCCAAAATGGTCTCTGACATTAAGCGAGGAACACAGACTGAGGGTGTTTGAGAACAGGGTGTAGAGGAGAATATTTGGACTGAACAGGGATGAAGTGACAGGAGGTTACAGAAGACTGCATAATGAGGCGCTTCATAACTTGTACTCTTCGTTAAGTATAATTAGAATGATCAAGTCAAGGAGGTTGAGGTGGACAGGGCATGTAGCACGAATGGGGGAGACAAGGAATGCATATAGGATTTTGATGGGAAAGCTAGAAGGAAAGAGACCACTGGGAAGACCAAGGCATAGGTGGGTGGACAATATTAAAATGGATCTTAGAGAGATAGGATGTAATGGTATGCACTGGATTGATCTGGCTCAGGAGAGGGATCAGTAGAGGGCGCTTGTGAACATGGTAATGAACCTTCGGGTTCCATAAAATGCTGGGAAATTCTTGAGTACCTGCAGAGTGGTGGTTCCTCCAGAAGGGCTCCACTCCAAGAGTAAGTAAGTACTCATATACAAGATCTTAATATTGCTATATATCATGAATATTATCTTATGGATTTAATATCTTCCACTTCCATCATGCATTACTTTAAATTTTGTGTTAACAAGTTCCAGACGATAAAACACAGAAATTGATCAAAAGCTCAGTCAACTGACCTACTGACCAATTGGGTAATAACAGCATTAATACAACTTCAGACTTTACTTTATGTAAGTTTACAGTATTTAAATAAAAATGTACTTAATTTTTAAGCAAATATTATATCACTTTCTGTAGACAGCATTGCACTAATACAAAACATAAAGTTGTTCCTGCGCTTAGCTAATTAAGGACTATGCCATAAAGACGTATGGGATAGTGGATATATAGATCCACGTTTTCTTCACCTTAGGCAATAGTGGGAGATGAATGGTCAGCTTCATGCCCGGCTGCTTTACCCCTAGGGAAAGAGCCCCTGCAACCCATTGGAAAAGAGGCTGGGTGGGCCCCAGAATCGATCTGGATGATGTGAAGAAGAGAAAATTCTTGACCCTACCAGGACTCCAACTCCCATCCCTTGGCCGTTGAGCCCATAGCCAGTCACTATACCAACTGCAGTATCTCAGTTCCTTTGTGGCTCTAACATACAGTTTATGTAAAAACGCTCTCAACAGCTCAAACTATACAGTACTGAATGGTAAGACGATCAGTAAATCATGATTTGGAAAGAACATGGAAGGAATGATGCTCTATCCTGCTGAATGATGATCAGAGAATGATGAAATGGAAAGGATGCGGAAGGAAGCAGTCATGGACTAATCTGACGGACTATCCTGCTGGTAAAATGACTAGTAAATGATAAATTGGAAGGATGCAGGAAGACGTGGTGAGAGAGTATTCTGAAGTACTATCCTGGCATGTAATGATATTACTGCCTAACCTTTTTCTTGCAATTTCTCTTCTGTGATGATTTCATGCTGCTTGTGTGGTTGGGCATGTGGAGGGGGAGGATGATGGTGCACTTGGTGAACCTGTGCTTGCAAGTGGGCCTGCTGAGCTGCAGCATGGGCTGCCTGTGCATGGGCTGCGGCCTGTGCATGGGCCGCCTGGACTTGGGCCTGTGCTTGTGCAGCTGCAGCCAACTGGGCATGTGCTGCCTGCTGCTGTGCCATCATAGTGGCCCATGGATGAGGACCCAACAGGTATGGAGGAAGTGCCATTGTTCAGACCTTCCTGCAAGACAAAAGCTGTTAAAGATGTAATCCATACTGGAGCACAATTTCCGCACATAATCTCTCCATAATATTCTGCTGCTTCTGTAGTGTTCATGTAAAGCAAAACAATATTGTAATGTTTTGTGAAGGCATCTGAGACGTCATCAAGACCTATCCTAGAGTTCCTACGTTTATGCATGCTACCTGCATCGTGACTGTTAAAGATGGAAGCAGTAAGTCCCTCCACAATGTTTTTACTCATCTACCAAACTACACGGTATCACATTCCAGAAGAAGGCAATCTTCATATCATATCCATCAAAGTAATATCGCATTTGAGCATCCTGATATGCTATTTTATCGCTTAATATATGCACACAAATGGTATACAGTGAATCTATTTTGCGCACCAAAAAAAAAATAAAACAAAAAAAACCCTGACATAGTGTGTCTGAAATGTTACCTCCTTATCCGGCTTAAGTAAATTGCTGTTCCCGTATTAAGTGCCGCTTCTACCAAATTCGTTGACGTTATCACATAACGTTTACAATACGTTACAACCATCCACCAACATCACTTTCATTTACAATATCCTCTTCCCATTAAAGGAAAATGGACGCTCTTAGCGCTTGACCTGATTACCAACGATGCAAACCATCAACAAAGATTACTAACTTGCACGTTACGCCCGTTACCATCTATCACGAACGATAACGGACTATTCGTCCACATATTCCACGGGCCTGCATACCACAAATCATGATTATCACAGAGAATACTTCAGAGCGGAGAGAATCTAACCGTTTCTGTCACTGACCATATAACTAAAACTAGATTCTGTGCATGTCTTCATATTTCATATGCTCCAATAGGCTCCATGTTAGTCATATCTTTGCTGCTCACTGCATGAATACCTGTGAATTAACAATATAGCAAATGTAAGGGGATACCGCTTTTTGCATGCATATTTCAATATGCCTCCCTCATGTTAGTTCACGCTGAGACCGAGTTCATTTGCAAGCCGAGTTGAGCAAATGTTTAAAATATTTGTCCTGTGTTGGTTTTGTTCTGACCATAGCTCGTGCAAATGACAGTAGCTGTATTGCAAGATCTTGTCTGACACTTTCTTGAGTAACAGGCGGAAACATTTAGCTCAAGTTCTTCGACCGGAATCCTTTCAAAATTTGGTTGTGTTCCCACCGCGGGGAATCGGCTCTTTACAACACCTCTGCTTGAAGAGAAAATATAATACACGGTAAAACCCAATAAATTGGAACCCATGAATCTAGTCGAGTTTCGAAAGACTTTTTGTGCGTATGGCTCGGGGGGGAACACCAAGAAAACTGGCAACCTCAACGCAACCGCGAATTCTGGGAATTATAGCCGATTACAAGCAGGAAACTGGTTTCCAAATTAGCAGACGCACACTGAGGAAACTTACGTTCGATTAGTTGCTCACAAAATCTCAAGGTGTGTTTGCCCGCCATTTTCGTGCACTTCTCTTCTGCAATTTCACATAATATTATTATTTTCCCTGTATTGATATGGTGATGATTCAGACGGCGTAAGATGAGAATACAGGAGAAAAGGAAACATTGAGTACACCCGTTCCTTCTCTACAATTTAAACTCAGGTGTTTATATTGTTTCGAAATAATTTAATCAGGATATACTCATAGAACTGTGCAAATAATTTTACGGAATGAGCATGCAAGGTTTTTCTTTATTAGTGGATATTGTAGGATCTCAAATTAGAAGACAAGATACAAATTTTCGTACAGTTGTGTCAGCAGAAACATAGACCCTATGTACATTCAATAACTGAGAAAAACAGTTCTTCCACCTATTCAAAATGTTGTGGCTGCAAGCAGATCACCATTCTCATCCTTCACTAAGTTACATCTATGTTGTTAACCCCTCTCAACGTCATTTATTCCTCTATGCAGGTCTCTTAATGTTTTTGTTCTTAATGTTCATTGCAAGCTCAACAATTTTGTCTCTCAGATATTCCTTCTTTTTATTCCTGAAATGCCTGCTGGTTTCACATCTTATATTTTTCAGATTATCCCCATTTATTTTGCTTTCATCCTGTAACCACAGCAATTTGGCTTCTCTTCTTTGGTCTAATAATTTTTAGCATCCATCGAACCATGGCTTATGCTTCTTCAGTTCATAATAACCTAGATTCTCCTTGGCCGAATCTCTCATTCCCAATCGTTAGTCTGAAAATGCCTTCCCTACCTACTTTGGCAACGAAATTTCCTAACAATATTTTCACATGGTACTTCATGAATTTATCAAATATGTGCTCTAGTTCTTCATAGAACCTGTCCTTCATATCAATTTTATGCTGCTAGTTTTCAGGGGCTTGTGAAACGATGGGATAAGTGCTTCAATGTACAGGGAGATTATGATGAGAAACAAAAGCATTTTTCAAATCAGTACTCTTATTTGTTTAAGTTCTATATCCATTTGTAACTTACTTATTGACTTACCCTTGTATATATATATATACACAAGCCATCGTAAAATAAAGGTTGTCAGTTATGTATACAATATGTGTAATTAAAATAAATCTAAAAGAACATAAAACCAATTACAGAATTATATAATAAAACAATATACCAATTACAAATCTATGGTTTAAAAGAGTATATTTTTACTTGTTGCTACTAAAACTCTCTTATTCCTTACCTCAGTCAACAACTTCGAAACAAGTACATCGTTTTCTTAAGTTTCACACTCCTTCTCAGTCACAGTTATCCAATCACATCCCTAATTATTTGCCCTGTAGACAATTGCACAGACGATGAAAACAACGTTCCTTTTATGGAGCAGCAATAAAATGTAAAAATTTAAATCTTTATTTCCTACAATAATATTTCTCTACAGTCAGGAGCTCTTGCTCAATTAACTCCACATAAAAATATTACCAGGTTCATGAAATTTTTCGTGCCATTTTAAAAAACAAATGAATCACTTCAACACGTTACAGAACAGCTGATTTCTAAGAATCCACGCTGCAACTCAATCGAACTCAATCGTGGTAAGACTGGCATGCTTGGAAAAACGCTGCCCCATTTGCTACTAACATGTGTCCATGGCCGCACTACAGCTAAAGCGGTTAGTCGCTGGTTTCCCACCGCGGCCGCCCGGGTTCGATCCCGTGTCAGGTCATGTGGGATTTGAGGTGGACAAAGTGGCGCTGGGGCACGTTTCCTCCGAGTACTTCGGTTTCCCCTGCCAGTCTTCATTCCACCACTTGCTCCACAATCACTCTCACCTATCATGTGGGGATGGTACAATAGGCCAGAAGTGGCCGCAGTACAAGGGACTTAGTCCCACCCCACTAGCTATAAAAAAGCAGGTGTTCAACTCCGGCTGATAACACTTCTTTGATATCGCGGTTACGTTTCAATTTCTAGTATCCTTGGTGTGCACCCGGCCTAATTGCTGACTCTCATTGGGTTGGCGACAATGATATTGTGCGTTGCGCGCATGCACCATATCTTCTACATCTTTCGTGTACCGGTGGAAGGAGTGTGAGAGATTTTGAACTTGTAATAGGCAGAAGTTAGTGCTGGTAATAGGTCGATTATTTGTGAGAAAATGAACGGGATGATGAAAGCAGCCCTGAGATTTTCATCGTTTAAAACGGTTACTAATCCGCTGAAACAAGCACTATACCCGGGAAATACCATTGCCGGGACAACGAAGCAGCAGTTTTCACGAACGCTGTGGCACGTGTGTTCAACGAAATCGGAGGAGAGTAATGTTGGCAATTTGAAATTGAAAACCCCAACAAGTCTATGCAGTTGTGGTTGTGGCAGTCAGCGGTTGCAGCATACTAAGAGTAAATGAAGTTGAAGTAATATATTGTAACGTGTTTGGCTACTGAAGACGCAGTTGGGATTGTTAATTGGTTTTATTAACAACCTGCAAGTCGTAACTACAATTAATTATGACACTGTTACGGGTTTACACAATTTACAAACCCTACACACTAATCTCTTCACTCTATCTTCAGTACACTTATTTACAGTACAACATGGGGGTTATGCAAATGTGGCCGAATTATTCCCAATACCTTCTCAGATATCACAAACTATCACTGATTATCACACATAAAATCTACTAACGACGCGTTCGGTTATTCCTCTTCCTGCAACTGACTGACTTCTGCTCTGCTGAATACTGGCTCCTTAGTCCAAGTCCAAGTCAAAGTCACACTGCGACTGATGATCAGTCAGTCAGTAAGTCTTGGTGTTGAGCCCCATGTAGGGCTCATGACCAGATATTTATTACTGTTTGGCATTTACAGTCTTGTTTTTGTGGGGCTCCCTCTCTGATGAGAGGATGGGTCTGCCTTTTGTATGTGCTGTTGGCCCTTGCCAGTGCAGTCTTTTTCAGGTCTGAGTCCCTTGGGACTGGTGACCATATTTTGCTGTCTCAGATTTGAGACTTCACTTTTTGTTGCCTCCTACGACTTGCAGGGTCACAGTGGAGGTATTCGACCCCGCCTCCACACGAGGGTTGTCAACTGTTATTCCACACTGCATAGCAACCAGCACACTTCAGATCAGCACGGCACAGAGAAACACTGCTTTCCTTACTGTTGCGTAACTTGGCAACCGACCTTTTATCAAGGGTCTGTCTTCGTGGTAACTCATCCCACATCCCATTGCCCAACAACAGTTTGACATGTCACAATATTTACATAAATGTAATTCTTATGCATGATACAGTCTTCTGTTTAGGAAGGGGGTGATGTTATCATTTGCACGGGCACGTTTGAACTCTGCAGGTTGGATTTGAGATTCTCACAGTCATAACTAAGAAGAGTACTGTTTTTTGAGATGTAGTTTGCTGGCTGCACGCTTCTTGTTGGCTACTTGTATGGCTCACTTGACCCTGAAGATGGAGGCAGTATGTTACTCCGAAAGGTCGGTGAATTTGTAGCAGACTTACTGGCATTACATTCCAGAAGACAGTACTCTGTAACCTCTCAGGTTCCATGAAAGGATGAGACTTCATGACCAGCCAAACAGCCACTGGCTTCTTAAGACTTTAGTTTGTGGAATTAATGGTTACAACTCTTCATTGTTACAGTGCCCCCAAAATAAGTTCAGGCATAGATGTTCAGGGTTCCTTATTAGGTTTCCAAAAAACTGTTACTGAATTGATATAGCTTGATAAGTAAAGAGTAGAATTTGTGTTCTATAGACATTATTAAGTGAGGACTTAAAACTTTCAGGTGAACAGGAATTGGTTCAGTTTTTATCTGAAGAGATTGCAGCTGAATGTAAAGCACGGAAAATAAAATCAATTCCTAGTAGGATTGATGGTTTTGATGTTAAGTTGGATGGGGCTGAAGTGACATTAACAAAGAAAACAGAAAATGAAATGTAAGTACAATATGCATAACATTTATTGAGGTACATTTATTGAATTTGGAGATGTTCTAATATCACAGTTTCTTTTACAGAGTCATTGTTACGTTCAATGTGAACCATACAGTTGATACTGATGCTGACTCTGAACCAGAGATAAGCCCAAACATGGATAAGCCAGATTTTGCGGAGTTGAAGTCTAAACCTTCTTTTGATGTTGATCTTCAGCTTGGAGATCAGACATTAAGTTTTACGTGCTCATTCCTACAAAGTGATAACATGCAACAGTCAGAAGATTACAGTATGTATATATGCATTATAATGCACATAATGGATTTGCTGCACATATTCTTCTAGAATTTTAACAGAATTAAAATTATTTTTGACTGAGACTTGAGAATTATATTTAATTTTGGTTGCCTGTTTTATCAGAAGTCATTTGCAATTATATCCAAAAGTCTGTTTAGCAGTTACCATTCTAGTGAAGATAAAAAAGGGTAAAGTTGTCCCTGTGCTTAACTAATTAAGCACTATGCCATGAAGTCATATGGGAGAGTGGATGTATAGCCCCACATTTTCTTGACTTCAGCACTAGTTGGAGGTGAGTGATCAGCTTGACACCTGGCTGCTTTACCTCCAGGGAAAGAGCCTCCAGTACCCATTGGATGGGAGGCTGGTTGGGCCCCAGATCCAGTCTGGATAACATGGAAAAGTGAATATTCTTGTCCCCATCAGTACTTGAACTGCGACACATTGGTCATGCAGCCTGTAGCCAGTTGCTATACCACTGTAGTACTGTCCATATATACAAATACATACATGTCTGAGCTATTATATTTGATGCCACATTGATGATCTCCAATAATTCTGCCTACGTATGGGATTAGTTTGAGAGAAAAATGTTGGATACATCTTTATATTTTTGTTGACGTTATATTAAATTAGAAAGTATGTGGGTACAAAGCATGATCATATCAGATTTCTTGAAAATATGCAGCTGAGTTCAAAACAATTTGAAGGTGGGTGCAGAAATCCAGCGATAGCATGTGTCTGTCCTCACAAAAGGATGAATAATACCACAATGAAGCCAGTGGTATTACTGTACTGGCTATGTTTGTTTTGGATTCAGCACATGATGATCAAGCAGCTTAGCTGTTGGTGTAACTTGTATTTACGAGGTTCCTGGCTAAAATTGTTTGTGGTTTTCCTCAGTCTCTCCAGGAAAATGCTGGAGCAGTACCTTGTTCAGGCTACAGTCACTTCCTTCCAAGTCTGTCCCAGCTCATCAGCATTCTACCATCTGATATACTGTATATAGTCTTGATACAGAAATTATAATTATAAATAACCAAGAAAAATAACATAATGTATGAACTATGCCATGAGCTTCTATTATCTTGAATTAACTCTGTTTCAGATGACATTTTTGGTATTGATGAAGTCACTATATTTAATGGAGAATGGAGTGACAAAACATATGCTGTTGCTGGCGATGTGCTAGATGGGGTAAGTTCTGTAGATACAGTCAACTCTCGATTATCCGGGATAATGGTGGGCATGGAAATCACAGATTAATCGAAAACCCAGTTAAGACAAATGTTATTAAAAGTAGTACTGTAATACTATACCTTCATAATACTATAAGCCTCCCTGTATTTAAATTTACTCAACCTCATTTTTATGTCATCTCATGGCCTATTTAATACTTTTTTAGATTACACTGAAGTATGAATTAGTTATTTCAATCACAGTGTTCAACAAAATCCAACACTTTTTTACAAATATTCACACTTAACACTTAAAAAAAATTAATATTGTCGTTTGCTTTTTTGCGGCATTTTCCTTTTTATGGATATCCATACGAAGCCTACGTAATATTAGCTTGTCACTTAATAAACTGTTCTCTTCACTCTCAAGATAGTCTAGTAAGGATTCCAAATGATTAAGAGCAGCACCTGTGATATTTTCTTACTAGCAGCACTGTCCACCTCTTCCTCATTCTCACTTTCTTCCCACTCTTCTGGCTGCACCCCGACTGAACTTACTGCTTCGTCACTGCTTAACATTTCGAAGCCCGGCTCACACGAGTTTCTGTTGAATACTTAAAACAACACACTTCCTTTTACACCCTGACATTTTGCTAATGCACTTGAAAATCGATACAAAGAGACCAACTGGGGTGGCGTATCTGTTCTTAAACTTTCCACAAATCCTTGCATTCTTTCACCCCTACCCTAGAACATTGTGTTAGCATAATGGGACCAAAGAATGCAGAGCTCGGTTCACACTAGTGCGAAAATAGTGNTGCTTCGTCACTGCTTAACATTTCGAAGCCCGGCTCACACGAGTTTCTGTTGAATACTTAAAACAACACACTTCCTTTTACACCCTGACATTTTGCTAATGCACTTGAAAATCGATACAAAGAGACCAACTGGGGTGGCGTATCTGTTCTTAAACTTTCCACAAATCCTTGCATTCTTTCACCCCTACCCTAGAACATTGTGTTAGCATAATGGGACCAAAGAATGCAGAGCTCGGTTCACACTAGTGCGAAAATAGTGTTACAGCTCACCATGTGAAACGAACGTGAATGAATATTTAACAACATATAAGCCTCAAAAAAGCCTCAGTAGCCCCAGTTAAGCCACAAACCGGTTAATCCACCCCCGGATAATCGAGAGTTGACTGTAGTTAATGTTCATAATACATTTAGGAATTCATTTACGTAAGCATCCATTTGTGTATATATGTGCCCTTGTCATCATGTAATAAATGCTGTCTAAATTACTCTGCTGGTAAATTTACTTTCTTTATTATGAATTCAGCTGTTTCAGTAATTACAGTCATTTAAAATACTGTGCAAGTGTTTTACAAGACAATACCATTCTTCACAATATTTTATAGTCATTTCATCTGGCAAGATGCACCACCAGTCTCTTGTCCAGCCACATAACTGATCATAAAAAATGTAAACCCCCTGTGAAAGAATTCAGTATGTGATTAAAATTCTCAAAATAGTGTTCCTTTATTAATTTTACTCTCAGATTTCAAATTGTGAATATTTAGTGTGAAATTCAAATGAAAGTAATGGTAATATATTACTCTATAACTTGAACTTCTGTTCGTCAAAAAATTACCAGTATTTGTGGGTAAAAATTGTCCTTTATGATATTCACACATTCACTTAATAATCTTCTTGGGGGGGGGGGAAGAATCCAAGGGATTTTTAGGTGATATATGCCATCTGTGGGGTGGGTGATCGAACTGTGTACTTTTTAAAAGTGTACAAGACAAAAATAGATAGCTATCAGAAGTGTTCATTAAGAAATGCCTTGAGAAACAATTTTGAAGGCTGAAGTGGAATTCCTTTGGAAATCTCCAGACTTTGCTCAAGGACAGAATGACAATCCAGGAAACATTAACGTTTATCATCTGGAAATACTCATGATGATAAATCTTGGTTTGATAGCGGAATATTTTTGGGGGTGATGTTGGCTGACTGAAGATTCTATGCAGTGATTGACATAGTTTTCATTTATAGTTGTGTATATGTTAAGAAGCCATTCTTAACACAGTATTGTCCATTTGGTAGTGTATCACCTGATCAACTGATGCATCACAGTGAAACATTGACAAAGAGAATGTTATATCTCCCATTTTTATCACTATATTTTAAGTTGCACAAATATAAGCTGTACTCCCAGAATGAATGGTCTTGAAATGAAAAATATTTTATGCACTTTCATTATGTACCACAATCAGAATGGCTCAGGGTAACCAAGTTTCATGTTCTTTCATGTGCTTACATAAGTGATGTAAACACATGAATTCAATATTTGGTGGGTTTGAGGCTTCAGTAATGCCACAAAGTATGACACATTTCTATTAGTACTTTGCTAGTTGGTAACACTGAACTAAAATTAGTTTAAACTGATGTCTCATATCATTTAATTTTTAAGAAGAGCATATATGCCACACCGATTTTAAAAGCGTGAATTTGGGGTGGGGGGAATGTGACATTTGGGCTTATACAGTGTATACTTAATAAGCATATTTTATTTTTCAGTGTCTTTATGACTTGTTCATGAATCTTCTGGAAGAAAGGGGAATCTCCAATGAATTTGCTGAAAAGCTGTCAGACTTCAGTACAGCATATGAACATAGTTTGTACATCGCTTTGCTGGAAAGCACAAAGAAATTTGTGTCATGAAAATAAGATATTCGAGTGTGACTGATACACATGTAGACCCTTTATACACAAACATTTCCATAAGCACTATATGCATTAATAATTAATACGCATATGACAAATATGTAAGAACTTGTCAAAGAAAGGGAATGAAACAGTGTGCATTAAACAATAAAGATCATTAAATATTCAGTCTTTATTTTCACTAGTATCCAGGTACTTTTAGCCCTTTGCATGCCACATACCACCTAGACCGAGTGTGGTGTTCTTGGGTTTACACTGACAGCTTAAAAGATCACCTGGTTATGAATTAGTATAGCATTCCATCAGTAAATGGCATCATGTACGAGTATGACATACCGATGTTTAAAAGAAAGAATAATCTTGCATATAAAGTATTTCTCCTTGAATTTACCAATAAGCAGCCTCAGTATTTGTGGAGGGATGTGGCAGTCTAAAGGGTTAAAACTGATCCCTGAATACACAGTAAAAATCCAACAAATTACAAGGCTAACAAAATAAAGCTGGAATGCATTCCCTGTTCCACAGTTCTCTCATTCTGATACGATTCACATTTTTGTGACTGGTGCTTCAGCTTCTGATATATGTTGTGACCATCCATGTTTTATTTCATGCTTCTCCTGGCAAGTAATTGGTTGTTGGCGAGGCAGCAGGACTCTGGGAAATGTACAGGCAAATAACCAGCCACACCATCGACCTTGCTTTAACTGTCAACTGTTTTTTGGCGGAGGTGCAGATTGCTCATCTGCAGAACCCAACATGTCTTTTTCAATCTCTTTCAAGTCAATGTGATGTTCCTTCATAGCTTTCTGTAAACAAACCCAAGTTTATGAGTCAGCAAAGGTATTTAAGAAAACTGATTTCCTATCTTTCAAAATGTAAACCACACATTCAACTGAAAGGTGCATGATAAATGATCATGCCTCTTTCATAACAACTAGTTTCATTCATTTTTATTTTATCCTGTAGATCAAAATACATTCATCACTGACATGTCCATCTATATCATTATTGAAATGACATTAGTGGCAGAAAACAAAATTAAAATTGGGTACTTCAATCCACAGCTTACGGCAGTACTTCTCTAAAAACATGTTTGGTGGTATTTTTGCTCCAGGTTTCAGCATCGATCGAAAAACAATTCACTGTTAAACGTTCAACTTTTGACATGTGCCGGTATAAATCAATCATTTGCTATTGTGTGTACCATCCAGAAAAAAAAACACTAGCTTAGGGTGTGGGGGTTAGGGAAGCAGGGTGGAGTGTGGCTAAACAGAAATCAGGCCCTACCTAAGAAGTGAGCAAGAATCTAAGAGCCTGTACATGAGATAAGCCTCTATTTATGGGGAACAGAAAATATGTTAAATTACAAAAACAAATTCCGTGGTTTTAGTCCACAAGCGAATTATACCAACCGAGTGGCCACCGCTTGTAGGCAAAGTTAGTGCCAACTTTAGCGGATAGAGGGTGTCGCATGGTCAGCGCAAGAAATCCCCACGGCCGTTAATTTTGGTTTTCTAGACCAGAGCCACTATTTCCTTGAAATAGCTCCTCATGAGACTGATTCGACCCCATTCCAGACCCACTACTTCTCAAAAAAATCTTGTAGCACCAGGGACAGAATCCAGGAACTCTGACGACAGAGGCAGTCCATGAAATTTCCACAAACACAAATTAACATACCCTAAAAAAACACGAAAGACAATGCAGGAGACATTACATAATGATAGGAACAAATTGAAGAAAGAAACAGTAGAAACAAAATAAAATTAGACAGACTGTTTTATTTGATTTCTTTCATTCTGGTCCGTCACGCTAACAGGATCATAAAAAGTTACACAGTTCTGTCCAGTATGACTGGTGAAGATTTTCTTATTTCAGTTCTTCATGCCCCTACATGTTTTGGTCCTTAGAAACCATCATCAGAGGGATGTGAACACAGTTGGAAACTACTATTACAAAATATGTTCTGAGCGTTAAAATATACATATATTGATAATATACGATTGGATATAAAATCTAAAGTTTTTACAACTACAGTGGCTGTCTTAATATATTACAATTTTTGTAACTGGTTTCTTAAGATTTTGTTAGAATTTATAAACCAAGTAGGTTCGTGTCCTCTTTCTTATTACTGCTCTTGACTGGGGCCAAACGTGTGCCACCTTGTTCTTGAGAAGGAGGTTTTTTGATGTCATCCTGTGGGTGTTCGTAACACACTGTGTTTTTTTTTTTTNATTCCATGGCCGTTGCGAACGCATCTGTAGGAGTCTGTTTTGACCACTGGAAAATCGCTGATGCAATAGCGGCACGACTGGTGAATGTACAACCACGGAGTGTCTTTCATCGTTGAGAAAAGCCAAAAATCATCAGGAGCCAGGTCAGGTGAGTAGGGAGCATGAGAAATCACTTCAAGGGTGTTTTCACGAAGAAACTGCTGCGTCGCATATTCCCGATGCACTGGTGCATTGTCCTGGTGAAAGAGCACACGTGTGCAGCCTTTTCCAGCCGTTTTCTCAGTGCTGGAAGGAGCTTGTTCTTCAAAACATCTTGGTAGGATGCACCTGTCACCGTAGTGCCCTTTGGAACGCAATGAGTAAGGATTATGCCATCGCTGTCCCAAAACATGGCCACCATCATTTTTTCAGCACTGGCACTTACCGGAAATTTTTTTGGTGGCGGTGAGTCCGTGTGCTTCCATTGAGCTGACTGGCGCTTCGTTTCAGGATTGAAAAACGGCATCCATGTCTCGTCCATTGTCACAATTGATGAAAAGAAAGTCCCATTCATGCTTTCATCACATGTCAACATCACCTGACAAATTGCCATGTGTGCAGCCTTGTTGTCGTCCGCCAGCATTCGTGGCACCCACCTGGAGGACACTTTCCGCATTCACAGGTCTTCATGCAGGATTGTGCACAGATCCCACGGAAATGCCAACTTTGGAGGCGACGTTTTCCACACTCAATCGGCGATCCTCCAAAACAACTTTCTCAACTCAATCGACCATGTTGTCAGACTGGCTGGCGTGAGGCCGAGATTGTTTTGGTTCATTTTCACACAATGTTCGGCCTTCTTTGAACTGTCGCACCCATGAGCCCACATTTTTCACATTCACGACACCATCACCACATGTCTCTCTCAACTGGCGATGAATTTCAATGGGTGTCGCACCACGCAAGTGGAGAAAACGAATGATTACTCACTGTTCTTGTAACGAAAACGTCACATTTTAGGTATCAAAAACACTCCCCACTCTTGCCGCCGCCACCACTAGAGTTCTGTGTGCCGTACAGTGCTGCCATCTCTGTCACGCATTCACAAAGTGTGCACACATATTTTAAACTAAACCGCATGTGTCTATCTGCTCCCAGTCCTGAGAAGAAAAATCGGAGACCTTAGAACTTGAATGCCCCTCGTATTATAACGCTCAGAACATATATTGTAATAGTAGTTTCCAACTGTGTTGATTTCCCTCTGATGATGGTCTCTAAGGACCGAAACATGTAAGGGCATGAAGAATTGAAAAAGAAAAATCTTCACCAGTTACATTGGATGGAACTGTTTAACTTTTTATAGTGTTTTATTTTAAAAAATAAAATTAGACAAAGACAGTGTTTTATTTTAAACTGAATTCCCATTAATTGTAAGGGATCTGAGAAACCTGCTAGTGGAATACTTGTTTGAAGAAATGATGTAAAGCATATCTGAAAAGAGACTGTTAGTAGGAAAGAGAATAACAAAATATATTAAAGAATACAGGCCTTTGAAGCTACTTCTAATGTGATGAGACAAGACAGGAACAGGAAATATTACGGTGAATATGGTCACTGAGTAAGAAACAGACACGTGTACTAAGGGGTAACAAATGGGACTGCAATGCTCTTGTTTAACCAGTTCAGTGTTATAAGTGAAAATGTTATACTCTAATGTGGTTTACCATAAAACAATTTCACAGAAATTTAAGTTTCTTAGACATAACTTTAAAGTAAAACAATATAACGGAGTCACTTTGTGGTCTTCGTTATGACAATGCATAATTTCTATTTATATTCAGAGGAAGATCTGAATATAAGTAAATGATAAATAAGTTTCAATAGCGGTTCTGTATGACATACAAAGTTGTTTATATTTTAATGCATTTTGTGCATATATTTAATGAAATAAAACATAAATTTCCAGTAAAATTTCACATTTTGAGGTAAAGAAAAGTTAATGGTGCAAGGGAGCAGCTATGAACCAGTGTACATGTACCCTTGGAGCTATGTGGAATATGACTAAAAAAGGTAAAGCTGTCCCTGTAACAGGCCGTAGAGGCCCACAGGGCTGTGAGACGTTGAGGCTCCCACATGGTTGTACAGTTGTCAGTCTTAAGCACCGGCTGCTCTTCACCCCCCCAGGAAGATTGCTGGTATTTCTGTTAGAGGATGAGTCGACACCAAGACCATACTGCAGCTGGAAGTATTAGGTAAATCAAAAAATCCAGTGACCTCATTGTGACTGAAGCCACGACCTTCAGGCTTGTACATAATGCCTCAACCAATTACACTACCACGTGCCCCATGGAATATGACTGATGCACTAAAATAGGTCAAAAGGGTCTAAAAGGTCTTTAAAACTTCCATCTGTAGAATGGAAATAAAGTTTGTTTAAAGCGCCATGTTTGGAAGTGGATGACAACACATAGTTTGAGATAAAAAATATGTCATCACTGAAAACTTGTACATGGAGTTTCACTCTGAGACCAAAGAGCACATGGTATAAAAAAAAACACTGGTGTAAGGGTATACCCAAGTCAGTAACTAGCAAATAAGAGTGAGTGGTGATAATAAAAATACTGCATCACTAGCAACACCTGCTCAAATTATATAACTAGGAAATACTGATAACAAAGAAAGAGAAAGGGATTCTCATATTGTAACGTGTCTGGAGTAGGTACTTTCATGGTAATGCAATAAGAGTGGACCACTGCATAGAGAATGCCAAAACAACGAACGTGTTTCCCCGGAGATGGTTCGTTGCGCAACAATAGACTGTCAAAACAGTATAAACAGAACCGTGAGAAATAGTGTCCGGTATCTGATTCGAAGAACACCTATATAAGGGGGACAACATATCAGATATTGCAGAGTTGGGTAGACGAGTACTGAGCAAGAAGTCAGTCTTAAGTGAGTCACCGTCGAAGGCAGTTGAAGCCTAGTATTCGCCGAGATATAGTGTAAGCAGTAATTGTGATACTGCAAGTGACAATAATTAATTGTAAAGTGTGTGAGTGTACAAGCGAAGCACAATAAATATTCCCTATATCTTTCTATAAAATGTCACAATATAATTTTGTATTCAATGGTCTTTTCCATGCTCTGACCTATGATTTGGAAGACGTTTCTGAGAACATTTTTTAAAGCACTTTAAGTAATCCACCTTACCATCCACAAGAAAAAAAAATCTATCATATCTTTTTACATTGTGCAAAACATAGGAAATAAAACTACTTACTTTGGAGTAAACTTATGATCCATCCAGTTTCATGCCACGCCAACTACCTTAACCACACAGCTTCAGTTCTGTCTATATCTGTCCCAGATACTAATTATTTTTGTGATAAAACATTTGTAATAACTCAGTAATGTCACAACAGACAACTACTAGTTCTGCAATTGTTTTCAAAGTTTGATTAAATCAGCTTTCTCTTCTGCACGACTTAACCTTTTACCACACCTCAGTGCAATATGTGTAAATTTTCAGTAAAGGTGCACACATGGTATCATTGTCTCTCTTAAAAAGTGGTATATAATAAAGAATCTCACTAAACCACGTACTGAAGCAGCTGTCATACTGATTTCTGAGTTCAGGACAGGTCTCCATCCCTAAAGTGAACAAACTTTAAATTATTGCAATACGTGCATACCTTAACACACTGCTGATACACCTTGAAAAAAGGTGCACACACTTCATCATTTGTATCCCCTTTCAAGAATCTTCCAGAAAACCAGTTAAGGAAACAACTGTCATACTGTTTCTTGAGTTCATTGCAGTTTTCTCCAATACTGTCCATCGAAATCCTTTAAACTGGAATAATTGTTATAAAACAGTGATTATATGCAATGCAATAATTTTAATAAAAATTCCCAGCATTTTATATTGTTACAACTTACTCCAGAATCTAGACAATAACAATCCTTTGAAGGAATCGTATCTCAGTCCTTTATCTTAAAATATGCGTAGGATAATATACAGCAACAGGCACGACTAATACTTTCAAAACGAAAAATGTGGTAACTTTAACCGAACGATCCAACCCTATTTGTGTGAGACCTGCCAGACCCAGACGACCCAGACTGTACGAAACCTTCTCCTCTTTCCACCTTTCATCTCGCCCAGCGCGATTCAATACTTTAGAAAGAATTTCACCGCCAGGCGGCGCTATTCGTTACAATAACTAAAATGGCTCCTGTGGCGTATAAGTAATTTGTAAATTAAACAAAAATTTGGAAATCTTAACCCTTCTGTAATTAACAAAACTCTTACCCTTCTACCTCCCCCAGTGCGATTCAATTATTACGGAGGAATTTCACTGTTAGGGTTCTCCATTTGATACAAAAATTAAAGTGGCTTGTGTTTTGTTGTATATAAATGCGGGATTGGGACAGTTTTGGAAGTATATTATGGTATAAACGAGCGTAAGGGTGCTTGCATTAATGAAGTGCTAAATTAATATGATGTGTACATGAGGATGAATATTTGAAATCTATCAATGAAGAAAATAATACTCTACCCATTTTAACTATACGAGTTCACATACATGCGCCTTACCTCATTGTTGAAAGAGGAAAAATTCATTTTATAAAGTCGTAAGCATGGCAAAGTAAGTTAACTTGTGAGTAATACGTATTGCTATTTTGCTTGGAAGTAATTTATTTGTGCATGTTTAGGGGTCTTACTGTTAAAATATATTAACAAGACTATGACAAAAATCATTGTCTCTTTTGGCAGGGAATTGTTTATTATGTTTGTGTATGACACCCAACGATGCCAAAGGGAGGAAGATGATCCACAAGACGCTGTGCTATATTTTCACCCAGGATGGGTGAATGAACAGCAGAGGCTTGCATTATGTGGGCAGCTCATGGGAGCAACACAGTTCTTTCTTACATCATTTAGCTGCCCTCATATTATTGCTCTTAACAGTGGGAAGTTTGTAATACGGCAATTCGGGCGTTACATTCTGGTAGGAAATGACTGCCACATTGTTTTAAGAAAAGAACCTCATTAAGATTTATGTTTGTTACCTGTAATAATGAAATATTCTCTTTGTTTTGACAGACCATGGGGACAGATCAGAACATTCCAGATTGGGTTCTTGAACACCGTGCAGATACATTGAATCAGTTAATACAGTTTTATCATAGAGATTTTGAAACCATTTCTTCAATAACTGGACCAGATTCAAATCAGTTTACAAATAAATTGAATCAGATATTTGAGACATACATTCCCATTTTACCATATGCAGCAAATATATTTGGAAACATTCCTACTATCAGACTTCCAAAAGTGAGTACAGTGATCAGGTTTTATCCAATTCTGCTTTCTGTCCACACTTACATAAATCATTCTGTGTCCTTTTGCATTATGTTATTATGGTGATTGGTTACCTATCTTATTCCTTGTCAAGAACAATATTGCCTGCAAAATTTTAGGTCAAGAAAATTTCTGTCTTCTGGGATGTAACACCAGTTGATGTTACAATAATTCTGTGTAATGAGTACATTTTTACTCATTATTGAGACCAAAGTTGCTGCTGGTGACACTTCTGTCATGTAAATTGCAGAGTGCTAGTAACATTTTCCTGGAAGCAGTGCAGATCCTCCACTGCTGCATAGAGAAGAATGGTGCATTAGGGGGTGCAGTACTCTTTCAAAACAAGTGAGTATTGTAGTAGTTAATATACTGAATGTCCTCTCTGATATTTTCACACATTCATATGAAGCATTGAAAGTATTGCAGTCAGTGGTGTGCAGTGCAGTAATTTTTACAGAACAGGAATATGTACTACCCATTTGATCTGTGTTGTTGTTGTTGTCGTCGTCGTCATCGTCGCGTGTTTGCTGTGTGATGCGACAAATAACTTCACGCCGGTCTTGGATCTAGGGAATTTATTGCACACTTTTATCCACACTTACATAACTCACAACTTCAGTATCCCAGTTACTTCTCCTGCTGTAGTCACTTCCAGATTTAACTCATTTCAGCGGCTGCTATATTTCAACTCACTTTGGCGGCTGCTATATTTCAACTGAATCCTTAGTTAAAGTCAAAGTCACATTGCAACTGACAGTCAGTCAGTCAGTCAATCTTGGTGTCGAGCCCAATCTGGGCTCATAACTAGATATTTATTACTGTTTGACAGTTTAGGTCTTGTTATTGTGGGGCGCCCTCTCTGACGAGAGGATGGGTCTGTCTTTTGTCAGAGTCATTGTCTATAGTAGTAAGTCATTTGTCATAATGTAAAGGACATTGACATTTTACATGTTAAACATGAAAATGAATGTATTAAATATATAAAGGGCCTCTGTCAGTCCAGGCTCAGTACAGCAGATTTTGCTTTATTTCTAGTAGCTTCTGCTACAGCAGTCCACTCACTTGAATGGTTGTATGCTTGACCACTGCTAAGTTTAAGCCTCTTATACTTTCTGTGTTGGGCTTCACCTTGTCCAATATTGTGAACATTTTCGTTACCATAATTTTGTATGACTTCCGCTTGTTGCCTGCATAATTTTATTATATAATCATATACATACAGAATTTTGAAAGCCATGTGTAAATCACGAACTGGTGTGTGTCTTGGAAAATCGCCAGTGGTGCAAGAACCTTGCTTTGTAGTCGCTGAAATTTCATTAGATGGGTGTCTGCCACGAATTCCCAGGCGGGACTAGCATAAGTCATAACAGATCTAATGAGAGACTCCTTAGTCAAGTCAAAGTCAAAGTCACATTGTGACTGAAGGTCAGTCAGTCTTTCTGTCTTGGTGTTGAGCCCCAGCTGGTGCTCATGACCAGATGTTTGTTCTTATATGAAAGTTGCTGTCCTGTCCATTTGGGGCACCCTCTCTGACTAGAGGTCGGGTCTGCCATTTGTCAGTCATAGCCTGTATTATTAAGTCCATTGTCAGTATTTACATATATTTACAAATTTAATCTTACTTCCTACTTCTGTGTACAATAGATACAAGGACTCTGTCAGTCCAGGCTCAGTACAGCAGATTATGCCCTATTTCTGTTAGTCAAAGTCAAAGTCATATTGCGACTGACAATCAGTCAGTCAGTAAGTCTTCGTATCAAGCACCCTCCTGGGTGTCATGACCAGATTTTTATTACTCCTCGACAGTTACAGTCTTGTTTCTGTGGGGCACCCTCTCTGATGAGAGGATGGGTCTGTCTTTTGTATATGCTGCTGGCCCTTGTCAGCGTAGTGTTTCTAGGGTCCTAGTCCCTTGGGACTTGCGACCATATTTTACTGTCTCACTTTTGAGATTTCCCTTTTCGTTGCCTCCTACGACTTGCAGGGCCACGGTGGAGGTATTCGACCCCGCCTCCACACGGTGGTATTTCTATTAGTCCAAGTCCAAGTCACATTGCGACTGACGTTCAGTCAGTCAGCGAGTCTTGGTGTCGAGCCCCATTTCGGGCTCATGACCAGATATTTATTACTGTTGAACATTACGGTTTTGTTTTTTGTGGGGCGTCCACTCTGACGAGAGAACAGGTCTGTCTTTTTTTACATGCTACTGGCCCTTGCCAGCGCAGCCTTTCTCGGGTCCGAGTCCCTTGGGACTCACGGCCATATCTTACTGTCTCAGATTTGAGACTTCCCTTTTCATCGCCTCCTATGACTCAAGGCATTCCATTCTCTCTTATAAATCCTCTTGCGGACCACACAGAAAACAACCTATATTGTTGGACGTGTTTACCGACTGATTGCCTAGCAACAGTCACTGTACAGACTCCACTGTTGCATGATGTCACAGCCTAGCAGGGAGGGGTGTTTACCGAGTGTATCATAGTGGTGGGATGAGTGGGGATATGTGAGATTGCTTGCACTTCCTGTGGCACTATCCAAGCATTCACAGAGTTGTCGCCTAGCAATGCACCAATACAATCCGCAACTCTCCTGTTGCGCGCATGCCCCAAGGCCTCTGTGGCTCAACAGTTTCTGCATAGAGCAAATACGCCACATTACTACTACTGCTGCTGCTGCTGCTGCTGCTGTCATCATCATCATCATCACTACCACCATCATCATCATCGTCATCATCATGGGGCCAGGTTCAATCCCAGATCAGGTCAGGTGGAATGTGTCGTGGACAGAAGTGACATTGGGCCGGATTTTGCATGAGCACTTTGGTTTCCCTTGCTAATTCTCATTGCAACAGCTCCACATTCATTAATCAATTTACAAATATCAATGTTGTTTTTGTTATTGCTGTTATTATTGTTATCATTGGTGTTGTTTTTTTTTTTTTTNNTGGTGGTGGTGGTGGTGGTGAAGCTATTAATTACATTTTAATAAGACAGTACTCCTGTCATGGTTGCTGGCAGGAGGAGGCAATCCAGGCATCTGCCCCACTTACCCTATTTTTGGAAAAATAATCAAAATTTAAAAAAGAAGGAATATGAATACCAAAATACCAACAAATAAAGAAAGGTATTTAAAGATATTGTTCTTTTATTCTGAATACTATGGGGTGATCAGTAAAAGTAATCTCAAAAGGCTGTAACATATAATTGCAAGCAAATTTTATGCTCCCCACCAACCCATGACTCCAGCGCAATGTGCTGTGATAAATACTACTACTTCATGCTTACAAATAGACTCTGGCCTAAAAGGAAAACATGCAATAAGTAAATGACTAAGATCTTCATGTGGAGGGATTTAATAAATTGGTTAACAGCCTAAAATATTTATTTCTTCGTATAAGTTGCCACAGAATTGACTCTAGCAGGAGAAAGATATTATGTCCCAAAATGTACAAACTTATACATCATATGAAGAGCTCTGTCTTCTGTGACATAACACTGTGTAGTCTGGTGAAAGTCAACCAACACTGAGAGGAACATATCACTTCCATCTTCAGGGGTGAAGAGTAATCCAAGCAAGAAACCAACATGAAGCAGAGCAAATATCAGTTGACTTTCACTGAAGTACATAATGTTCTATACCAAAAGGTAGATCCTCAAATCCTATAGTAACTATTCTGTTTTGAATAAAGAAGAATATTCTGAATTGATTATACATNGTATTCTGTTTTGAATAAAGAATATTCTGAATTGATTATACATTTTATTTGTAGGGTTGTTGCCTCACAATTCAGCCCTGCACTTACAAAGAGATTAGTGTCCTCTGATCCATGCAGGATTAAGGTAAATGTTAACTAAGTGTATTTCTAGTGGAGGGTTTCACTGTAACTGTAATTTTACTGTGCTTCTTGTCTATCCAGGTGGGTAAAGTGCGATACCAGTGACAATTAAGTTGATTTGCTTCTGGTTTCTGTTGATGGAACTGACTTGTCTATTCTGAAGTATGCTTATCAGCATCTTTAAAGATTTTACAGATTTTTAAGTTTTGGTTTTGGGTGATACATTTATATTGTGTGAAAGACATCACTTGTATAAGAACGATATAAAGTCCCAATCTGCACTTGATGGAAGTCATGCTGTTTTATGTATGGGATACATATAAGTATTTGTTTTTATGTATCTAATTGTGAAAATTAAGAGAACACTAAATGTTAAAAACTGTGTACTGTGTTAATGACAGACAAAACAGTGTGTAAATTCATTCAATATTAATGTGAATTTTCATATAAAAATGCTGAAAATAGGTACAATGCAACATTTATTTAGCAAGAATTTATGAAACACAGTAAACATTCTTCTTCTAATAAGTACTCGTGAAGAGTACTGTTTTTTGGATGTGACTCCATGAAGTCTAGTAGAAGTGCACTAACATTTTAGAGGAATGTGCTTCTTCTTCTTCCTCCTCCTCCTCCTCCATGTTTTACAAGAATGTAAAGCACTATGCTGCAGGCCAGAAGGTCCCAATGCGGTCACTGGTTTTTTTCAATTGACCCAATCCTTCCAGCGACACTATGGCCCTGGGGTTGACTCAGCCTTTTAATAAAAATGAGTACCAGGAATCTTCCTGGGGGTAAAGGGCAGTTGGCATCAAACGCTGACAACCACACCACTCTCTGTGAGCCGATTATCCAGAAAATGTGGGAGCCTTGATGTCTCACAACCCCATGGGCCTCTACAGCCGGCAAAAGGGTAGCTTTACTTTTTTTAGCTTTTATTCCTAGTGCTCTACTGAACTGCTTTAGTGTATGAAACAAATTAAGTCCACAGTTCTGTCTTCTGTGTTATAATGCCATGTAGTCATTGAAAATTAACCAACATTTAGGAAGAACATGTCGCCTCCATCTTCACGGTTCAAGAATAAGCCAAGCAGGTAGCTCTGCTTGGATACAAAGTTTTGGTAGGAAATCTTGAAGAAATGAGACTACTTTGAAAGTCTAGGTACATATGGAAAGACACAGAGAAGTAGAATAGGGAAGTGTAGACTGAAATCATTTGGCACAGGATAGGGATCGGTGGTGGGCTCTTGTGAATATGTTGTTGAACCTTTGAGTTCCATAACATGCTGTGAATTTCTTGAGTAGCTGAAGAGCAACAGGCTTCGCAAGAAGAATTTAGTTACTTAATTGGTAAGACTGTCATTCTTTCTTCCTTTTCCTGCCTCTACACTTATACTCTTCAATGGAAGGCATTATGTTAGAAAGCAGATTTAACAGAGGTTCAATTTATGTGCATTGGAAATGTCATGAGGTGAGTGCCTCTGCAAAAAATTATGGGCATGGACTTCAATATAGACTAGCTGTGCTGTGAATGAAATGTTTCCAGGATATACTGACTTGGCACTAGGGAGAGGAGTTCAAGACATTCTACATAATGTATTTTTATTTTGTGTTTTTAGTCACCTGCAGAACCTGTGTCTACACCATTCCATCTCCCAGTTGGAGTGCAATTGCTGCACGTGTATGTGGAGAGTAAGGAATTTTATAACTTGCAACAGACCTCTGCTGCGGCAAGGTCAGCTTTTGACAGTGTTGCAAACAGGAAATTGGAACAGAAAAAGGTAAGACCAATAAAGACAAAGGAATATACCTGTAAGATTTGAAGTTTTCACAGCGAATAAATGTGCTAGAAATCTTCTCAGGTGATTTGCCATGTCAATGTTGAGTTAAAAACCAACATTTCAGAGACCTCTGACTCCATCATCAGGGTCAATGTGGCAAGTGACCTTATGTTACTGATATATATATATATATATACACACCAGTCTGTCAAGAGGCATCAATTTGAGCGTGAGGCTCCATGGTAGGAAGACAGTGCCCAACCACCTGAACTATGGCTTATCCTTATTTTATGTCCAACTAATTAAATAAGTTTTGGCCGCGCCATAGCTCAAGCGGTTAGTCGCTGGCTTCCCACCGCGGTGGCCCAGGTTCGATCTCGGGTCTGGTCAAGTGGGATTTGTGGTGGACAAAGTGGCGCGTGGGCAGGTTTTCTCCTAGTACTTCGGTTTCCCCTGCCAATCTTCATTCCACCAATTGCTCCACAATCACCCTCGCCTATCATTTGGGGCTGGTACAATAGACCAGAAGTGGCCGCAGTACTAGGGACTTAGTCCCACCCCACTAGCAGTAAAAAATATAAGTAAGTATAGTTATCCCTGCAGCAGGCCATGGAAGCCCATAGGGTTGTGAGACATTCAGGCTCCCACATTTTCTAGACAGTTGGCTCACAGATGGCAGTCAGGTTGTTAGCCTTATGCATTGGCCGCCCCTTACCCCCAGGAAGATTCTTCAGACTCATTTCTTTTAGAGGCTGAGTTGACCCCAGGGCCATAGTGCAGCTGGAATGGTTAGGTCAGTTTAAAAATCCAATGACCTTATTGGGAATCAGATCTACAACCTTCCAACTTTAAGACAAATGGAATAAATGATGTCATTAATTTTTTTTTTTTAGATTCCATCTGGGGCAGTTCCACCTTCAAAAGAACCACAGCCTGCAATGAAGAGGGATATCTCAAGAATCTTTACAGTTCCTGAAGAAGGAGAAGGGGAAGTGGATCAGACTGAAAACTTCACTGCCCCAAGTGCAAATGGAAGCATTGAAGCTGTTTCCCCAAGTGATGACATTGTGGCTGTACAATTAAGCAGTAAGTGCACCACTCCAACAAAGGAGGTACACCTAAGAAAAGTGCTACATGGTAAGGCATTGTCTATATGTAGCAAAACAAGTGGTGATGAAGTGGAGGCTCAAACACTGACAGCAAAAGATAAAGTGGATCTTACAGTCCCAAGTAAAATAGAGAATGTTATGAATTCAGATACATGTCCGAGTGAGAAACCAAAGAAGAAGAGATCTAAAGCATCATACTTCCTAATGAATAACTGTGAAAGTGACGTTCATAGTTTAAGTTTAAATGACCTTCAACAGAGCTCACGGCTGGCTTCCAAAAGGGTTCCACTGAGATGTTATAGTTTTGGTCTACCAAGGCTTACTCAAGACATGACAGATGATAGTGGCGATTATTCTCCTACAAAGAATTTGCCATCAGGTAAACATTTTTATAACACTATTTGTGATCCCTTACATCCAGTATTTCGCAGCGATGGACTTCCAATTTCACGCTCACTGTATAATGAAACCCTTGCACGCCATTACCAATTACTTGATATGGAGAGAAGTAATGAATCCAGTCCAAGAGGTGATTCAGTTAGCTTAAGTACCCATCTTATGTCCTCAACTACAATGAAATCTGATACCGAAACAGAAGAGCATGATATCACAAGTAGTACTGTATCAGAGCCAAGACAGAGTGATGATAAATCCATTACTGACCACACTGAATTTTGTTCAAATGAAAATGAACCAGCACCTGCACAGAAAATGGGACAGATAGGAATGAATCCATCGAAACAAGAAATATATAGGCGTTCTCTGAGTTTGCCACTGAAGACAATGATTACAAATGATTATGCAAATGAAGATATCAGAGAGAGGTCTACTTCTTATACTGCAGGCATTCTTGAATCACCAGTGGTGAAAACAAGGAATATGGGGCTTCCAATCACACCTCTTATGTCAAAGTTGAGTTCTTTGGCAATAGAAGAGAAGACAAGTGGTTTCTGCAGTCGTGACACAACTCCTGGCGAGTTCAGAGACCTAAGTTTTCCAGGAAATAGTGACACAAGTAGTGTACCAGAATTCACAAGAAGAAAAGTTGTCAGTGAGAAGAGGGAAGCTGAACTAGAAGAGGAAGAGGGCAGTGAATGTGCAGAAGCAGCTAGAGATGCTGTGTTATTCCTGTTTGGCCAGCAGAATATGTCGTTGTTTCTGCTTTTGGAAGAAGCCCTGGGACAAGATCCTCAATTGATTCATTGTCTGGTGAGTACTTTCGAACTACAGTATGATTGCAGTATAGTACTTTTATTTAACTACCACATCAACACTTTTTCAGGTTTTTCACGAAGGCAAATGTGGCCAAAAACAACCTCAAGGTCCATACCCAATGACCAGTTTCATGCCATATATAATATTGTGACATGTTGAGCTATGGATCACCCCTACCTCCCCAGCGGTACGTGGCGGTAACGTAACGCTCGCGTTACTACGGTAATAGGCGAGTTCCCCCCCGCCACTCCCCTCCGCGGTGACATAACGCGCAATGCTACGTACCCGTAATCAATCACGTTACAATATATACCAGCAAGTGCAAGTACAATGAAATCTCTACTTCATGCATCTCTGGGGAAGTAGCTTTTCTTACATTCTGAAAGGGGCTTATCCAAATTACATCAAGAAATTGTTAGTCTCCTTGTAAGACACTGTATAATTATAATACATTTTATTATAGTATAAGTAGTTATAGAAACTGTTTCTACACAAATGAATATAATTACAGAATCAGAAATATCTAATTAATTTCTACAGCGCTTCATGATGTGAAATAAACCCATTGGTTGTGATGGAAGAATTTCTGTCAGAGACAAAATATAAATATATTATGATACTTTTGCAAGAGTCGGAAGAGTTCTGTCTTCTGGGATCTAACGCCACGTAGTGTGTTGAAAGTCAACTAGCGTTTCAGAGGAACATGTCACTTCCATCTTCAGCGATAAAGAGTAAGCCAAGCAAGAAATCACCATGAAGCATACAGGAACCTTGAAGATGCAGAAGACATTTCTCCACGTCAGTTGACTTTCACAGACTACATGGCATTATATCCCAGAAAATTGAATTTTCATAGCCACTGCTGTGAGAATCTCAAATTCTACAATGTTTGGTATGTTTCTTTCCATTATATGTAATTCAGTAATATTCTTTTTGAAGAAAGCAGTCTTCTGGGATTTGGCACCGTGTATATGTGGTGTTAACCGACGTTTCGGAGGAACGTATCGCCTCCATCTTCAGGGTAGAA